CCCTGCAGAGTTCTTTGCTGGGGCTGAGGCTGGAACCCTTTGCTTCTCCAGGCCCCTCACTCCTGCATTCCAGAGTGTGTCATTTCCTCCATCACACCCTTCCTGCCACTGCCCCAGGTCATGCTGCCTCTGACCTAGCTGCCCTACCAATTGGCAGCAGTGAGATATGCCCCAATGGAGTTATCAAACTAGTTATCAAACTAGTTATCAGATTCCTTTCCTTATGGAGCTTGGCTCTGAACCCTCCAGAGAGGTTTGTGGTGGGACTTGCCTCGCTGAACCGCCTAGCCCAGGAATTGTCCCACGTGGCTCTTGAATCCTGCTCAGTGGCAGCAAAAAAGAGCAAATCCAACGAAGGAGACTGCAGCATGCTTTATACTCTGCCCCAGGTGTCCCATGGACCACCACAAAGACTCTGCAGCAGGAGGGAGAACTTGCATCCTGCAATGGGAGCTGCCCAGCCTCAGGAAGGCTGAAGGGCAGAGCACTCCTGCACCCTGGTAAGAGGCGGTTGAGCTCCAAGGACCCACCTACTCCATGCAGTGCATTAATCCCAACCTGTGGCTGAGCAGTACTGGGCTGCAGGGTGAGGACAAGTTACCTTCTGTGCAGTGCAGGAGCACTGCCTGAGCCAGAGATCCCAGTGCTGGCCAGGACTCACAGTCCATTTGATTTCTTGGGCCCATATCCCATAGAACTACCCTCAGTGGGAGCAACACACTCCTCATTTGAGGGCGGGTCCCCACCGCGTAACGCTGCACCTTCCACTGGGGGCCCAATGCGCAACATAAACATCTCTTGGGAACCACGGAAACAAGGACACAGGCAGCTAAATCTCTCTCTTTATCAGCATCTTCCAGCCTGTCAAAGGCCCTGAGATAAGGAGACATCCCTCAGGCAGACAGCGAGCGGCTAATCAGGACTCAGGAATCAGAATCAGCTCCCAGACAGCTCCACACTGAGCTCGCTACAAGCTGCTCCCTTCCCTCTCAAGCCCTGGAGCTCAGTGTGCTGTCTCAGTGGCCTGCGGGACTGAGCTCATGACTGACCGATTCTTCTGAGACTGCCCCCTCTAGTGAGAAATTCAGCGAGGTCACAGCGTCTCCGTTACCGGACACAGGCTCAGCTCTGTTCTCCCTAGGTCAGCACAAGCTGTCTCCCCAACACCTGCCCTCTGTGCCAAGGGATCTTTGACCTATTTCAAAGACAAGCACTATAGCCTGCAATTGCCTGGAGTGTGCAAACATCATTAAAAGGGATTAGTGAAACAACGGCATCAAAAGGAGTCCTCTATATAAATACACCCCAGGCTATTTCCATGGTGTTGAAGTCACGCTCAAGCCAAGGCAAGGCAGCCAGATTATGTAAACCCAGTTCTCTCTCCAGGAGCTGGAGGTCAGCAGGTGCAATCAAGGCTTAGATCGACCTCACAGCAGCAGAATGCCTTCAGAATTCAGTCCCCAATGCATGACACACACCAAGGGCATGACAGGCCAACTGAGACACATCAAGGGCACGCCAGGCCAGTTTCCAGCTGGGAGCTCCTCCTGAAACCACTAGGAGGAGAGAAGCTAGATTCCTGGATATAGCATCTGGTCTGCACACAAGTCTCTGTCTCAAACAAGCAGCAGATACACTCCCACCCTTCAGGCCTGGAGTTGGGAGACTACGATCAGTATCACTGGCAGCCCAACATAAGTGAGGCTACCCAGCTTACTAACCCATACACAAGGCAACACAAAGTAGCCATGTGTTTATAAAACCCCTTGTTCATGGAAGATGTAACATCAAGACACTCCGCCCTCTGCTGGTGCTCACCAGCTAAGCAGGGTCAGGCAAGGTCAGTCCATGCATGGGACATCTCCAAAGAACGCTGGCCCTACGTGCTGCAAATGGCGATTCAGTAGGGGGCCCCACCTACTAGCGACCCTGTGAGTCAAGACGTCAATTGCTGCCCCGGTATGAGCACCAAAGAGCTCATTAATGTTAGAGGTGCTGTATCTATGGTGACACACCAAAGCAGAAGCCTTCACCACTCAGGGTTACAACAGATCCTCCAGGAATCCTGAAGAGCCAGGCATTAGGCGGAGTGTCCTAGCTATATTCAAGTCAGGGTGGAATTACACTGCAGTTTAAGCAGATATGGCATTCTCCAGATCCTGTCCTGATGCGCTGTGTAGAGTTGCTGTGAGCTGTCAAATGCAGGTCATGTTCCAACCCAAAGATGGTTGAGCAGTGATCTTATACAGCAGTCGGGAGATCAGTTTGGTTTAGGGTAACCAGACAAGTGTGAAAAATCGGGACGGGGGTGGGAGTTCATAGGAGCCTATATAAGAAAAAGCCCCAAATATCGGGACTGTCCCTATAAAATCGGGACATCTGGTCACCCTAGTTTGGTTTGTTAGGTGTTCTAGCATTGCTCTGCATGAAAAGTCGTTACCTTCTCTCCTTATAACCCAAGTCACTGCTGCTGGCTGCCAAGGGAGGGAGAGGGCAAGAGATGAGCAATCTCAGCTCCGGGGACAGCCAGATAAGAGGAAAGGAGTTCCCTGTAGATAAGAGTCCTCTACATAGCCCTAATCCTTGTGTCTCCAGGGGTTGCCAAGACCCAAGCTCTGCACAGACTGCGCCTCTCCCCTCAAAAGTCACTTCTGCTACACCTAGGGGAAAAGAATTCTGGTTTCTATGTCCACGAGGAGGTGGGGCCGAGAGCTGGGCTGCAAAGAGCCTGACTACAACATCAGGAGCCAGCTTTCAGAGGTGACTTGATTACAGGGTAGAAGTACCTTCACAGGGAGACAATACTGGGTACCAGAGGGCTCTTTGATCTAGAGGAGACAGGCAGAACAAGAACCAATGGCTGGTAGCTGAAGCCAGACAAATTCAAATTGGAAATAAGGCCCCATTTTTGTTTTTAACAGTGGAGGTGATTAACCACTGGAATAAGATACCCAGGGAAGTGATGGATGGTCCATCTCTTTGTGTCTTCCAATCCACAATGGCTGCCTTTCTGGAAGATATGCTTTAGTCAAACAAGTTATTGGGCTCAGTACAGGCGTAACTGGGTAAAATGTAATGGCCCATGACACAGGCGGTCAGACTAGATGATCTAATGCTCCATTCTGGCCTTAAACTCTATGAATCTATCAACCAAATTCATCATCTCATAAAAACAGTATCAGGTTTGTCTGACAAATCCTATTTTCCATAAAGCCATGCTGTCTGACATTAATTATGTACCTACCCTGTAATTATTTACTGACTGCATCCTGTATCAGCACTGCCATGAGTCTGCCTGGGATCGATGGCTCACAACCCGGGTCATCCTGTTTACCTTTTATATATGGGGACACTAGCAAAGGCCAAGCTCTTCAAATGCCTGCATTAGTATGCAGTGAAGACAGCTGGACAGAAATGGCT